AAGATATCATTCATAAAATGCAGGATATTAACCAAAATTACTAGACATACAAAGGCACAGGAAAATGTAATCCGCACTCAAGACAGAAGGTAACAAATGAAGACATTAACCCTAAGAAGACCCAGATATTGGGATGAGCAAACAGAATTTTAAAGGAGCTAGTATAACTATTTCAATAATGTAAAGATATGCTTATAATAAATTAACAGATAGGAAATTTGAGCAGTGAAATAGAAACAGTTGAAAAGGACCAAGAGGAAATTCTAGAACCAAAAATTAAAATCTGAAGTAAAAAATGCAGAGCTGAACATATATAACAAAAGAGTTAGTTTAAAACATATCAATAATAACAGAACATAAGTTTTTTAAAAAAGGTATCAATAAGGGGCACCTGGGTGGCTCAGTGGGTTGAAGCCTCTGCCTTCGCTCGGGTCATGATCCTGGGGTCCTCGGATCAAGCCCCGCATCGGGCTCTCTGTTCAGCAGGGAGCCTGCTTCCCTTCCTCTTTCTCTGCCTGCCTCTCTGCCTACCTGTGATCTCTGTCTGTCAAATAAATAAATAAAATCTTAAAAAAAAAAAAAGGTATCAATAAGAACTAAGGAGTACCAAGGATAAAAGATTTCAAAAGTGAACAGAGGTCACTGTTCTGTGGGGAAATAAAGAGGAGAGAGAGAAAATGGAAAAAATATTGGATACACCAAAGCAGGATACATAGAAAGTAAAGCACACCTAAGGATATCATACTCAAACTGATGGAAACAAAAATGCAGAGAAAATATTAAGTAGTCAAAGAGAAAGGAATATTACATATAAAGGGGCAAGGCCACAGATGACTTCTGGCTCATCAATAGAAAAAGATGGAGACCAGCAGACAGTATAACCACAACTTTAAAATGCTGAGGAAAAAAAAAATTGTCAACCTATCATTCTATATCCAACAAAAATATCCTTCAAGAATGAGGCAAAATGGGGTGCTTAGGTGGCTCAGTCATTAAGCCTCTGCCTTCGGCTCAGGTCACGATCCCAGGTCCTGGGATCGAGCCCTGCATTGGGCTCTCTGCTCCACGGGAAGCCTACTTCTTCCTCTCCCACTCCCCCTCTCTTGCTGTGTCTCTCTCTGGCAAATAAATAAAATCCTTAAAAAATAATGAGGCAAAATGAAAACCTTTTCTATAAATAAAAGATAAGAAAATGTCACCTGCAGACCTGCATTACAAGGAATCCTGTAGGAAATTCTTCAGGCTGAAGGAAAAAATACTGGCTAGAAACTCTCCATTAAACCTGCCATTGGGCACCCGGGTGGCTCAGTGAGTTAAAGCCTCTGCCTTCAGCCCAGGTCATGATCCCAGCATCCTGGGATCGAGTCCCACATCGGGCTCTCTGCTCAGCAGGAAGCCTGCTTCCCCCTCTCTCTGCCTGCCTCTCTGCCTACTTGTAATCGCTATCAAATAAATAAATTTTTTAAAAATTTAAAAAACAACAACAAAAAAACCCCCTGCCATTAATAATATAGGGGAGCTATGACCAAATATTACCATGAACCCATTCCTCTCCCAACAAAGGTAACAGAACATTAGGTAATCATTATTGCCGTTTATAAAATATTTCTTATTTTCCTCATTTTAGACATATAGATAGAATTGCCGGTCCACTTTTTGGGGTTGGATGTGGCCGTATGACCTCCTTTAGTCAATGAAATGTGGCAGAAACTTTATCAGAGTATAGATTTTGCCTCCTTTTCTTTTTCTGACCTTAACAATCATGCAAATACAGAGATGGCCTAGACTGTAGGCAACCTTCAATAGATGTAGAATATGAGTGAGATTATTGGGGTTGTTTATTACCACAGCATAACCTAGCCTATCCTGACTGTTACAGAAATTAGTACCTAGGAAATGGTGACACCACCGCAAAGGAAAATATATGACACTGGCTTAGAGGTCAAACGTTCAACTGTAGAGCAACTGTTTTATTGGTGCCTGGAAGGTGTGCGATTCAGGCTTGCAAAGGCAAAACATGGTAAACTATGACCTGTGATAACTTCAAAGGCAGAGAATTTGTCCAATAAAAACTCTTTTCTTTCTGACATGTAATCCAGCAGACAATGTTCAACATAATGGATATGCTATGAGTCTATGTTCCAAAGTGAGGATGTGTGGAACAAGGTGGACATGAGAAATAAACCTTTTTTTTTTTAAGACACTGAAATTTGGAGGTTGGTTTTTGTAGCAGAAGTCAACCCATCCTAACTGAGAACAGAAAGCAGCACCACCCAGTCCCCTTGAATCACTGACGCAGTCATGTTCATGGAGTACGGCTATGGTTGGTGGGCCAACCACTCTGTTTTCACCAATGGAGCACAGGCAGGTGGGGAACCCAGGACTGTGGGAACATCTGGCTCTTTACAAACTGAAAATATTCCCACTTCTAGCAAAAGGCCAAAAGCAAAGCTTAGGATCCTCCTTGACAGAGAACAAAGGGCAGAGGAATATGCACTTGACAGGTCCCCAGCCCTGATACCCTGAAAATTCTCTGTTTATTGAAAGGAATTCACATGAGAGCCTAGCCCAGAGAGAAGAGTCATTGCCAATATTGGCATGTTCTCAAACAGTGAAAGACCAGGGAGTACAACAGTATATACTGTGTGACCCCATCTTTGCTATGAAGAAGAACTACTTTGCTGTGTACGTATTCATACAAAAAGTCTAGAAATGTGTATTCCCAAATGTCAGTGGATGGCTACCTCTAGAATTACAGGCGATCTCTATTTCTCCTTTTCTCTTTATCTGCATTTTCTCATTCTTCTAAAATAGATACAGTATTTGTGAGGTAAAAGCTTTAAAAACAAAGTAATAGGGGTGCCTGGGTGGCTCAGTGGGTTAAAGCCTCTGCCTTCAGCTCAGGTCATGATCTCAGGGTCCTGGGATCGAGCCCCGCATCCGGCTCTCTGCTCAGCAGGGAGCCTGCTTCCTCCTCTCTCTCTCTGCCTGCCTATCTGCCTACTTGTGATTTCTGTCTGTCAAATAAATAAATAAAATCTTTAAAAAAAATAAAAATAAATAAAAATAAAATAAAAACAAAGTAATAAACACAACCACCACAAAACGAACGTTTGGCAGAGAACATGTTGAAAAGTCAGACAAATCACTGGGTTGTAGAAGGAAGGCCCAGGGCCAGTATCACACCAGGTGCCCTGGTGGACACGGAAGTTCCCCCTCAGAGAGTGAACGCAGAGAGAATTCTGTCGAGTATGCAGGTAGGGGCTGTTCCTTGTCTGGCCCGAATTCACCAAGAGAAGAGTGGGTGTTATTACAAGCTGGTTAGCTTCCAATTTTCAGAGTTTCACAAGGTTCATGACAAATGTTTCTAGAGCTCTTTCAGGCCCGTGTCTACACATGGAAAGCTCTTCTGACTTTAACTCACCCTTTGGCAGCATGAAGCGTGTTAATACCCCATTTGATCACCTTTAGCAAAAAAATTAGAGTTCTTCTGAAGTTCCTTCCAGCCCTCTGTATGAAGTCCAAGTGTTTGCAAATACCATGCGACACCAGCCTGAGAGAGGCAGTCTTGTGAGGGATAGAAAAACTTGAATGCTCTGAGGTGTTTTATGAGTTGTAGTCAAAACCACCACCCATAACATTCTCAGTGTCAGTCGGAGACACTGCTCTCTCATGCAGCGTGTTATGGGAAGAAAATGAGAGAAAGAAACCAGGTCTAGAATCCTAGGTCTTGAGTCCCCTTACAGAACGTTGCTTGCAAAATGATCTATTTCCACCACCAACCCACTGTGGGATCCTTTCTCTCACGGACTCCTTTCCCGCACAGTACAATGGGGAGAGTGTAGGGGTGGCCGAGGAGGGGATTGTAATGTCCAGCATTGGAGAACCTGAGTCTGTTTCATGGCTTGTTGGCTAAAGAGGAGTTTCCAAAAGCTGCGATGAACGATGGACCCCCAAAACACGCTTTAATCATGAAAAAGTGGGGCAGAGCTGGTGTTGACCAAGATGCAAAACAAAACCCATTTATGAAAGAAATAGGCCCCATTCAAAGACATAAATCATCCTTCCTGCTAATAAATTTCCTGCAATACTTTCCCTCCAAGCTTTGTTGTTCATTTTTCTCACCATCAATAAATAAGGATTGTTTGTTACATATGTAACAACTTAGTGTTTTTCTTCTAAACCACTGTGCTCTGTGTGTTAAGGGCACATATTCTTTCCACCTGTTCTGATTGTCATTGGTGTTATTAAAGAAAAGAAAAACCCTTTCCACTTGGGTTTATTCAGAGAGAGTTAACATCTGATTTTACATGGAACTATTTAAAAGAAAAAGAACAACATGGCCTGAAGCCGTTCTAGCATAGGGTGTGGAAGTATTTGATGTCCTGGTGCTTGTTCATAAAAGAATGTTGTTTTGAAATGTGCAGTGAAGTCAGGGAAAGAGATCCAAAGAAAGTTCCCGTTGAGACAAAATCAAATCAACCCGCCTCTACCCCTCCACCAAACACTTCCCTCATGGATTGGGGGGTCCCCTGGCTCGGTGCCCACCATCTGTGCCCAGGGAGGCCTCAGCTTTGCTGCCTGCAGTGATGTGTGAACATGGGTTTGTCGCAGTCGGGCACTGATAAAGGTCATTTGTGGATCGGGACCCACAGAACAGAGGCCACCCCGGTGGCCTGGCCCACGTCACAGATCTAAACCTAAGTCAGGGGGGCACTTAGGGGAATGCCTTCCTGCCAAGGAAACGGAGCATCACCAATCACAGTCCTCGGACTTAGCTCGGGCTAACTTACCTTCCCATGGGAAAGTGGATCACCCTAGCCCACCTTGCCCTGCTTCTGCCTTGTCTCCCCAACCCCTCCATAAATCTCCCATTGTCCCAAAGCCTCCAGGAAGAGGGCTCTACTGCGCGTGAGACACTGTCCGTGAATGGACTGTCTGCTCTTGGATAAAGGACATCCAAGTCATTGCCAAATTGTTTTATTTTTGTTATTTGTCAGCACTAACAGGCTGGAGGTGAGACATGTGTCAGAGCTGACCCAGTCTCTGAAGGGATTCTGCAAGAGTGAGTATCACCCAGGTGGTGGCCCTTCCCCATGAACCCCCAGGCTCATGGGTTACCCTTGAAATAAAGCCACATAAAATGTCTGGAGCCGCCAGGCAATGCCAGGAGACACTCGCCCAGGCACAACATTTCAAGGGGTGCCAAAAGCTCCGCCATCAAAGGAAATCATATTTTAATGCAGTATTTTAAAAATCAAAATTAATGCAGAAAAATCCAGGATGAATAAATTACCAACATGATAAATAAAGTAGGCTCCAGAACAACGCATTGCTCAGCTATACCAGAGCCGGAGGCAAAAGGAAAAATTAGTCGTATACTGATATCCTGTCTGTATTTAAAATTGCGGGAGTCTGTTCATCATAGATTTTTGTATTTGGGTTTTTTAAACATTGCATGAAAATAGCATTTCTCTTGACAGGTGGGTCTTGGAGTGCACACTCTAGAAGGTGCTGGGGCAAGTGGCTCTCACCTACCTGACCCCATCCCAAACCCGATCCTCGTGCTGGGAAGTAACAGGATCCAGCCCCTATCCTCCTGCCCACCCTTTCCAGATACACCTTCCAGGTTGGTGGAGGAAAACAGGGTTTCTTAAGAATCTGTTCCCGGGTCAGCGGCCCTGCAGCCTATCCCTCTATGGTCATTCCTCTCCTGATGTTTCCCTGGCCCACCTCCGGCCTCTGCCACTGGCTGGAAGGGCACTACCGGTGCCTGCGCACTACAGTGGGGGACCCACTCTTACTTCGGGTCTTGGGGAGAGAGGATCAGGGGAGCAGCAGATGACTAGAACCAGTAATTACTGTGCCAGCAGAAACCAACTTTAAATTGGAAGTTTCTAGGGGCACCTGGGTGGCTCAGTCAGTTAAGCGTCTACCTTTGGCTCAGGCCAAAATCTTGGGGTCCCAGGATCGAGCCCCGAGTCAGGTTCCCTGCTCGGTGGGGTGTCTGCTTCTCCCTCTCCCTCTGCCCCTCCCCTGGTTCATTCTCCCTCTCTCTCTCAAATAAATAAATAAAATCTTAAAATAAATAAATAAATAAATTGGAAGTTTCTAGTCCTCCCATTGTCAAGAGCTCATTAGCCAGTGCCTGCCTCAGACCCTCACAGGGAACGGCCAACTGAAGACAGTACTGGGGGCCCTTCAATTCCCTTTCTAGGACCCCAAAGTCCTTCTCAAGGTCCCACAGATAACCCCAAAGTCCTGCTCTTTTCCATGATGCCTGGTTGGACTCTTCTCTGTCCAAACCTCCTCCTTGAGGGCATGCCCAAGGGGCAGACACCTTTCTCAGTCAGCATTGAAGAGGTCTCTCCAAATACTAGAAGGGTTTTCCCTCTGTGTGCAACTCTGCCAAGAAGCCGGTGGGCTACAGTGGCCCCCACCGTCCCACCAGCCTTTTCGCCTCCCCACATCACCCATGGGATCCGGCACCTGTGCGCAGGTCTGGGTCACCTGTACTAAGGGCCAGGTGCTTTCACCTCTCTTCTCAGCTCTGAGTGCTGGGCCTGGTGTGGAGCCAATGCTGGGGAAAGATACTCCAAGCTGCCACATCCCTCCCTTCTGGGGTGGGCAGGGGACAGGGAGTGCTAGCACGGTTGGAAGCAAGGACGGGCACACAGCGGTGATGCTGCTCATTCAGGGTTTCCGGTTCCAGAGCCCCAGGGGCTTCTGGGAAGCATCTGATTCCAGCCCCTCCTCCCTGAGTATTGCTGATCCCCTCACCAAGACCCCTTCCCCAGAGGGTGCTCAGCTCCCGATGCCACAGCACGAACCCAAAGCCCCTGAGAGTGTAAGGGCGGGGAGAGAAGCATTTGGATCCCAGTCCCCTCTGCTCCCTGGCGACACGACCCTGCGTGTGTGTCATGGTCTCTCCAGGCCGATTTCGCCCTCTGCAGAGTGAGCATCATAAATAGCGCTCACTCTGGGTGGCTCAGTGGGTTAGGCGTCTGCCTTTGGCTCAGCCCGTGATCCCAAGATCCCAGGATTGAGTCCCCTGTGTGGCTCTGCGCTCAGCAGGGAGTCTACTTCTCCCTCTTGCTCTGCCCCTCACTCTGCTCGTGCTCTCTCTCTCAAATAAATAAATAAAATCTTTTAAAATAAATAAATAGTACCAACTCCAGGAGGCATTACTGCGGGGCTAAATGAGTCTTCCACACGGAGCTCTTAGAAGAGTGCCCAGCACTCGCTAAGCCCTCCGTGGCCATCAGCCGCTCTTACTACCTCCTGGCCTGTGGCGAGTTTGTTTTTTTTTGGTGTGGAGTAGGCGGACAGGGCCACTGGTCATCTAAGTGTGCCTGAGGCACGGGGCTGAGGATGCGCTTGGACTGACTCCTCAGGGCACTGGATGCTTCCATTCTCAGGAGCACTGGAGGGATTGGAAAGTCCCTGGGAAAAGATCCCTTTGCTCCAAAGAAGGAGCAACTTTGGGTTTTTAAGTGTGAATGACCTTGAAGGTCGGAACAGTGGGACCCAAGTGGGCACATACATCCCTTGACTCAGATCTCCTGGCTTCAGAGGAAAACCCCCAAACTTCCCCTGACCCAGGCTGGGCCTGGGATGGAGCATGTCGCATGATAATAATGCAGGAAGACGGCCCTCTTCAGTGTTTGCATAAAAATTGAGGTTTAGCGCATTTTTTTGTTTGTTTGTTTCCAGAGAAGAAGTCTTTGCGCAGGTACTGGGTCAAGAATGCCTTTTCAAAGCTTGTCTCACACCGAGTGTGGAAGAGGCCCCCAGGGAGGGCGAGGTTCCTGCAGAATGCTTCGAAGTCGAAGTCGGAGGGAGGCAGGAGCCCTCCCCATCTGTCCTCTAGGTCAGTAAGAATTCTTTCCTTCCAGGGAGGATGACTTGCTTGAGGTCTGGAGACCAGCTCTGGCTGTCAGACCCACCCCAAGTTCCATCCCCAGCCCCATCTGCCTGTCCCCCATCCTTTCCTGGCTCGAAAGACCCTTTCGGTATCCAGAGCCTCCACGTGGGCCCCCAAAGGACCCGCTGGGACTCCGCCAGCCGGCACCATCACCTCCCAGGCAGCAAATAAGACCCCAAGACACAGGATGACATAAGCTTTACAGAATTCTCCGGAGCCAGCTGGCCTCACCTACTACAGAACCAAATGCCAGGAAACTCGGGCTGGCCCGCCAAGTCCCCCGGCCTGAGGGATGTAGAACTTGTTGACATGTGCCTTTGTCCTTCATGGTCAGCTCCCCCTCCTCCCTGCCTGCACGGGGCACCCCAGCCCAGCACGGCGGTCTGAGTCCGTGCAGCTCCCTGCACAAGGCAGGGAAAGCTGCTCCCCCAGCTGCTCGGTGGGGGGTTTCCTGCAGGGCCCATTTTCCACACACTGCTGGGGGGATGCCTGACGGTCCCGGATCCCTGGGCCAGGGCGTGGGAGGGGGGCCGAACCAGAGACAACCAGGCCATGAGCCACTCCTGATCTTCCAACTCATTTTTTAGGGAAAACCTGTCTCCCAGGTCTGCACTTTGCCTTTCTTCCCTCTTCCTGAAGGGTGTAACGTCCTGACAGCTCTAACCCAAATCTATTTGCATGGGCTCAGGGCCCCTACTCCATCAACATCACAACTCTTCAGTGTCCCATGCAACAACCAAGAGCGATTGAGAAGAAAGCACATGCTTCATCAGGGCCTCTGGGGGAAGGGCCAGAGAAATTCCAGAATATCCATAACAAAATGTCTTCTCCCCATTGTCTCCCAGCCCCCCTCACACCCACCAGGGCAGCCTTATGTGCCTCCGCTTCCTCCTCTGAGCACACTCTGTAGACCTCTCACCCTACCTTGCCAGAGAGCCAGACCTACTGCCACAGATCCAGTCTCTCCTTCCTCCTAGAGAACCTGTCCTTTAAAACCCCCTACCGCAGGTTGCTTTGGCTGTTAACACTCATCCTCAGATCAAGAGGCTCGTAAGCCTGGTGCACAGACACCGAGTTTTCCAGCTCCCACCCCATGACTCCCATCCTCAGCAGATGATCTTGTCTGTCTTTACTTCTGTCGCCCCTTAACTTGTCATGTGCCAGCCTGCCTTTTCGAATGATGCAAAATAGACCCAAACACCTCAATCCTGGAAACTTACTGAAGGTCAAACGTTGACTCAGCCATTGAAATTCCCTGTGTTGGGGTAATTTACATACGTATCTGCGAGGAAAACGGAAGAGCCCGGTAGACAGCATTTTATGGCTTTTCTCCATTAACTCGAGTAGACAAAAAGGAAGCACCACGGCCAAACAGAACTATTCCCTCTGGTCTTTCTCCCTCTCCCAAAGAAAACAAAGAACAGAAACACCTGTGCTAACCCCTCCCCAACCTCACTTCACAGAGTCTGGGGAGCCCCGGTGTCAGTGAGGAGGGGGACACCCCTGGACTGAAAATCTCAATGGCCTGGATCATCAAAGTCCCTCCTTTCCGTGAGTTTTGACTGGAGCTGAGGTCAGTGCAGGACAGGGGTGGGAAACGTGACTGCCTGGAAGGGCTTTTTCATTTTGGAGTGTCGGCTGTGGGTCAGACAGTCTCAGGGAATAAGCTGTAAGTGGAGGTGAGTCTTTCCATATGTCTTGCATGAAAATTGAAAATGATCATCTAATGTAGTCCAGAATCCCTCCAAAACAGTTTTATTGTTTTGAAAAAGAAAAGGAAAAATGTGAGCCAGGTCGAACGTCATGGGGTCTCTAATCCAAATGAACAAAGCAGGAGAACAGTTCACCCCTGAAATGGAGTCAAAGAGGGATCCCAGCGGATAACAGGTGGGGCTGTGCGTCCAAGTGGACATTTCATGAAGCACAATTTGATGAGGATGATAGCATGGGATAGTCACAGGAATTCCAAACTTCCCATTTGCTGATGAGAGGAAAGAGGCTGCTGAACTCCTGAGAGACCTTTAAAATAATTTTTTCAGTACTTACTGAGGGATTTGATGTATAAGGTACAAAAAAAAAAAAAAAAAAAGGCTGGGGAAGATAATACACAACTATTTACCCCACAGGACTGACAATCGACAGTAGGGTAGCTGACAATATCCTCCCATTCCTTGCCTCAAAATACAGCCTCTCTTGCAGATATGTAAAATTCCACTGTTAGAGATTCTTTCCTTTGTATTAAACATCCTCAAGAATCATGAAGGGTAAACGTTTCGTCCAAATCCCTCGAAGACTGAGTTACATATCATTTCCAGCCTATTCTGCTCGATAGGAGTGTATGGGGGTATTTGGTTTCAGGATGAGTCAAGTAATTCTTTTTATTTCTAATTAGAAATGTGAAATGCTTTGCTGAACCAAATGAGGTCGTGTCTTGGATTTGCTTTAAAATAAAAATAGGTGGGGGAGTAGGTAGAGATACGGAAAAGACTGGCTAGTCTGATTATTGTGGAAGCTGAGTGATGGGTACGCAGGAGTTCATGTCTCGTACTCTGGGCTGTTATATAGGTTTGCAGTTTTCCATAATAGGACGTATTTATTTCAGAGAGGAAAACAATAAGATCTTGCTAAAAAAATGAAAATGTTTTGTTGCATAATATGTAAAAGCTATAAAAAACACTGGAGCTAGACAATTAGTCTTCTGCAATCCTCTCCCTTCCACCAGAGACTACAGCTGTAAACAACTAGTGTCTGTTCTTCCAGACTTTTTTTTTTTAATCCTAGGATTCTAAAGCCAAAAAGAACCACAGACACTATCTAAGGAGGTCTGGTGTCTTCTCTTGTGAGGAAGAGGAGGGCCAGGGCGTTGTGGGCAGGGATGGGGGGCATGAGTGCAAGGTAGAGTCCAAACTGGGTTCCAGGTCCCACTGCCCCAGGGTCAGTCTCCAGTGAACCCCTCAGGGGACGTGGTTTTCCAAACGCACACTTGTTGGCTTCTCTAGCTTACAGTCTTTCTATGGTGACCAGTGAGAGACGTGAAAGTCAAGGCCAAAGTAGGAGGGCTTTTTACCCACGACAAGAAGTAGATCCCACAGAGCTCGGTGACTAAGGCAGGAAACCACCTCCCACTTCCTCCATTCTGGGGACTGGACGATGTTACTTACCCTCTGCGGAGACCAGCGTGGGACCTCCTGTCCCTACCACAACCCGGGACATAATTGAACAGCTCCACTGCACAGCTGTAGCTACCATTAGCTTATGAATCTGTCGAAGCAGAGAAGTTTGAGAAGAAAAAGCAATATTCCAGTCCTAGATTCCAAGGACCTGTTGCTTGGGTGAGGAGGAGCCCAGGAGCACAAGGAAACCTGAAACTAACCCCCCAGTATGTCTTCATCCCACTGGACTAAACAATGAACTAGACGGGGCACAGTCAGTCATGCTCATGGGACATTTCTCCAACCACACAACCAGAAGTGCTGGCACAATCCTGGGCGGTCCCTGCCGAAAGCCACAGGGAAGTGAGCAAAGTCAGCAAAGAGTGCTCAAGCTCTGTGATGTGAAGGCCTCCCCAGAGGTCACCTCCTGTCCCACCTCGTCGCCGCATCCTACTAAAGCCACCAAAAGCCATGCTGGATATGAAGCCACGTCTGGCCGCTTAGGGCTTGAAGGAGCTTACAACTTTCTTCATCAGCAAGCCATCCTGATAGGGAATTCTCCACTTCTGACCCTTCTGCCCCGTAGGACAGACAGAAGCCCGCAGGGCATTTCTAGAGAGATTGCATTTCATGATATTAATCAAAGTTGCCATAAGGAGTGGCCCTCCCTGGCCATAACAACCTACTGATCAGCTTCCTGTTGCTGTTGTAACGAATTACTTCACAATAAGTGGCTTAGAACAACCCAAATTCCTGGCCTTGTAGTCCTAGTCACAATTCCAGGCAGGTTTCACTGGTGCCTCCGCTCAGGGTCTCTCAAGGCCAAAATCAAGGTGTCGGCTGGCCTGGCTTCTTATCTGCCTCCAAGCTCCTCCTAGTCGCTGGCAGAATTCGGTTCTGGGGGCTGAGGTCCCTGTGCTCCGTGCTGGCCGTTAGCTGGGGACCCCTCTCTGCAGCTGAAGGCCATCTGCCTTTCTTGTCACATGCCAGGGGGACCGAATCGGGCTCAGCAAGCCTCCCTTGTGGGAGCTTCTGGTCATGGGAGGCTACAGGCTGAGCACAGCCCATGCCCTGCCCTCGAGCAGCGAGAACAGAGAGGAAGGCCGCTGAAGAGGGACACCAGTGGGGGAGGCAGCCGCAAACTCAGATGAGAACACCTTGTGATTTCCCTCCTGGGACAAATCACTAATTAAAAGCACACACACCCCATCCGCTTCCTCCCTTGTTACCCTGAAGTGTTTTGAGGGAGGGTGGGGCTTAGGAGACAGGCCCTGGGAGGAGGGCATGTCTGGTCACTGTGGCCTCATTAGACCACAGGATCTCTGGAGGTGGGCCCCAAAGCCAGTGGGCAGGCGGGAGTGAGGCAGGGCCAGAGCGGGTGCCCGCGACCCAGCGGGCTACCGGAGCTCAGTCTCCCTGGAAACCACATACAATGATTCCATGGGAGGGGAGGGGATCTGGGGTACTGATTCCCCAGCTCTGTCCGTCCTGAGGTGACGACTGCGCAGAATCAGTTCCCCAGCACTCTGGCCTGGCCTGTGGGAGGGCAGAGCTACCGCGGAAACCCCGAGGCCAGAGACAGGCAAGTGCTGGCGGCTGGTGGTCAGGCAACAGGGAAGGAGCAGGTACGGCCCAAGGGCCATTTGGGGGGGGGGGGCGGGCACAACTGCTTCTCAAGGACCCAGAGGCATCTGTGTCCCCATCTTCTTCAACTCTCCCTCTGCCTTCCCCGCCCTGGGCCTAAGGACCTGCCGCCTCACCTCAGGGAAGTGAGGATGTCCTCTAGACCCAGCTACCTGCCTGAAGCTGCCATTTTTGCCAGAGACCTCCCCATCCCCCAACGGACGGGAAGTCGCTGTGGCAGCTCATTGTCCCTGACACACACCCTTCCTTCTCTTGCTACAGGGAGCCTAGGAAGAGTGTCCCGAGGGAATGGGAAAGGCCCCTGTGTACCAGGAAACACAAGAAATCCTTCACATGATTCTTATACACAGACGTGCACCCAAGTGGCCAGAACCCAGGGTGAATAGGGGTATGTGCCCTTGTGAAGTCCTTCCCCAGGAGAGAGAGAGGAATTCCCGTTGGAGGCAAGCATGGAAGCCTGCAGGAAAGAGGGGGCTATGTGAGCTGGGCCTGGAGGAGCATCAGGGCAGGCCCGGTGGGCCTCAGCTCCCTTGGCCTGCGCTAGGGTCCTCGGGCCTGGAATGGGTGATCTGTACCCCGGCCATGCCAGACAGGGCGGGAGAGACAAGACAAAGAAGAACGAAGGGCACACCCCGTCTGGGAGGCTTCCAAAGCCAGATCATCTCAGGATCCTCCGAGGGCCATGTGTAGGCCTCTCCGTGGGAACAGAAGGGGTGCCCTCCCCCAGCTCGCCGAGGCCACCCCTCCCGAGCTTCACTGGGGCCAGGACACCAGGTGGGTCTGGCCGGACTCCCCTGAGAGGGAGGGCTGACCTTCTGCATGAGTTCCTGCCTTTCTTGTCACAGGACAAGACCTGGGACGACAGCCCAGGATGCCCTGGAGCAGAGAGATTGTCAGAGAAGGAGGTGAGAGCCCGTGAAAATGGCCGGGACGAGGAGAGCGCAACCTGCCCAGCCAGTATCTTGGTTTCTAAGAGCCCGGTCGGCTTCAGAGAAAATAAGAAGGTCTGAGTTTCCTGGTTGTTCACACTCCGAAACTGAAGCCAAAGAACTTCCAAACCTCTGGCTTTGACCGCGCGAAACCCCCACCGCGCCTGCTGGGGCCCCATTCAGTGATGTTATGGCTCCATCTACAGCCGGAGGAAGGAGCTCGTTGCTGGAGTCTTCTGTGAGCCACCGCCCGGCCTTTTTGAGTTTCACAGGCTCCTTGCAATTAATGCTAATAAGGCCCTCTCCCTCCCTAGCTGCGCGCTTTATTCAACGCGGCTTTGGAACTACGCTGGAAGTTATTTATTTCAGGCTGTGTCTACAACAGCAGCTGTTCAGAATATACTAGAAATGCTTTTAGCCAAAATTGGTTTGGAGTTTCTATTTTAAACCACTGTTTGTAATGAACAGAATTAAACGGGTTTTTTTTTCTCTTCCACTTTTTTTTTCTTTTTTAACAACAGAACAAATAAAAGCCCTTAAGATAGCAAGATCGCATTCTCTTTCATTCACTGAATAAACATGTAATTAGCCACCTTCCCTGCATCGGCCTCTGATGGGCGCAGTGCCCCGTCAGGCCAAATACGTCCCATAATTGACTCATCAGAGAACGTCTGCTACTTCCTCTAGTTGCCTGGAACCCCCACATGGGTCAGAAAAAAAAGCAAGGAGAAAGCCCAGGGTCACCAGTGGAGATGGAGTTTAGGAGGCCTCCGAAACCTCGTGACGTGCAATCCTCTGACTCATGACAAAATGGAAGCTGGGCGTTGGTTCCATACAGGTGAGATTTTGTCCTTTTCCATTTTTTTCCTCAGAAGTGTAATTAGCTTTTTCCTGTTAAAAAAGGGACCACAACAATTACTGTTTGTGCGGAAAACTTGTAAAACAAGACAAAAAGGAATAGTAAATCTAAGGCGTTAATCATCCCATCCGCCGATGATGACCAGTTGGTGGTTGACCAAGCTCAACATGGCCCGGAATGAACTTTGTCTTTCTGCCAGTGGTTCTCCAGTCTCTCCGACCCACAGGACCTGAACATTCTTCCCGTCACTGCATATTCTTCTGCATAATTTTGAATGGCTTCAGAAAATCCTTTTATATAAATGTACCATCATTTACCCCAGGCCAGAGGCCCCATTTCTCACAACTGAAAGCTCCGTACGGACGATATTCCTTCAGTCGAACCGCTGGCTGTGGGAGTGCTGGGCCAGAGGGCACACCCCACGGAGGCCTCCGACACAATACATCAAATCGCCATCCAGGGTTGATCTCCTAGAACTTCCGTCACCACCAGCATCTACGTGGAGGAGCCCCAAGTGTTGGCCACTTCAGAAGGCGGTAAGTGTGATGGCGATGGCTATGTGAAGGGGACCTTGGCTGAGCCTCAAGGACCCAGAGGGAGGGAACGAGAGCCATTTGGAATGGGTTTGTTTTTTTTTTTTTTTTTGGTACATTCTCTACCTTGTAGGTGATTCAGACTGGAATGCCTCTGGAAGACAGGCAGCTGGACATGCTTGGGACTGGTAAGGATTTAGCCAACAGAGCATTACCACAAGCTGGGCAGACGAAGGGAGAGCGAGTCATGCTAGCTCATCACCCATAACTCACCGCTGGCCAGGATTAGAGTCGCCACTCGTTCATTTCTCCTTCTTCCACATCCTACCCGCCGTTCGTGTTCACAGATGCTTCGCCTCGCCCTGCATGGTTTGCAAGGTTGAGCTGGGCTCCTCTGGAGGCAATTACATTCATTAGGTCTTTGAAAAAAAAAATCCTGGCGCCTCTCAAGTGTGAGGTGTGATCTACGGAATCAAAATGTGGCTTCCCTAAGCCAAGACGCGCAGGTCATTTTCTGTGGAACTGAGACGTTCTTCCATATGCTCCCCCCAGTTGTTGGGTTCATATGGGGAGGAAACGACTCGAGGGATAGTGAGAAGCAGCTCTCACCCAGGGACTGCGCAGCCAAAGTCATCTGGGGTTAGTTTTGGAAAGAGAAGAGGCAGAAATAACCAGCTTCAGCTGAAAAGGAGAAATTAAATTATGTGTCTTTGAGCATAGGGGGTACCTAATGGACTCTCTCCCCTTAGTCACAAAAAAAAGGAAAAGAAAGTAGCAGAGACCCCCAGAATGTTAGGGCCTGATGTTACCTCTGCGTGGAAGGGGATACAGTGACAAGGGTCGTCCAACCAAGGTCACAGGCTTTGGGGTGGGGGATGGGGGGTGGGCTGGAGCCCTGCCATCTGTGTAGTAGAGCAGGTGTTTAGTCTTTAAGGAGAAGAAGACCTCCCCCTCCCAAAGGGGAGATGGCAAGGGGAGTTAGGAGCAGGACAAAGTAGACCTTGCTCTTCTCTGTCTGATTCACACTTCTTTTAGGAGAACGAGATGCATGGTTCCACCCCAGGTGCCTGGCCCGCGCGGCTGCACAGAGCAGGGCCGTGTGGGCGGATGCCCGGGGCCTCTCTGTTTTTATGGAATATTCTCATCACCTTAGCATCCTGGCAGTTTCCCTTTGGTGTACATGCGTCATGCTGAGAGTGTGGGTGAGGCTCAGGCTCTGGGTCACACGGAAATGGTGTTGTCCTAGCTACCCCGGAATGTGGGCCAGCATCTCATGGTACCCCAGGAGTACCCCAGGGGAGAACCTGCCAGGCACCCTCCCCCCACCCTCACACTGAGGGTATGCCCCTGTGGGATGGAACTGCCCCCAGGCTTCAATTCATCTGTTTTGGCTCCCACCAGGAAAGCTTGAGGCAGCAAGGATCTCCTTATTACTGATAGACCGGAGGCAGAAGTAATGGATGCGCCACACAGCTCAGAGTGGGACCCTTATGGGTGCCAGACGAAACAGCCAAGATCTAATTACATCGTCGGAAATAACTTACACGGTCACCTACCTTCTGCCTGTCCATCTCCAAACTGGATGGCCTTTTGCTTCAAGCAACAATGCAAATATTTTGAGGTTAACATTTCAATAGGTCCAAGGTCCTGAATGCAACTGAGCAACTCCCCATACATTTTCTGGGCCACGATTTTCCCAGCCCCAGAAGAGTGTTCATTTTACATTCCAATCTCTAAACGTCTCCCCAGCTTCTGGCTCTTCTTCATTCTGACAAAACAAACAAAATCTCCCGCTACTGAGCCAGACAAAGAGCTTTTAAAGATAAAACGGGAAGGTTTTAACTCTGTATTACACAACTGAGTGTTCTGCTTGTTGGTATCCAATGAGACCTTGGAGCAGTACGGACCTTTCCAACTTACCATGGAGTGACGTGCTGATAAACCCATCCCAAAGGGGCACCTGGGTGGCTCAGTGGGTTAAGCATCTGCCTTCAGCTCAGGTCATGATCCCAGGGTCCTGGGATGGAGCCCCACATCGGGCTCCCTGCGCAGAGGGAAGCCTGCTTCTCCCTCTCCAACTCCCCCTGCTTATGTTCCCTCTCTTGCTGTCTCTCTCTGTGTCAAATACATAAAATTGTAAAAAAAAAAAAAAAGTCCTAAGATAAAGATGTCCATAATACACCTCACCTACACAACGTCGTCACTCAGCCTAGCCTACCTTGGAAACGCTCAGAACACCTACCCTAGCCTACAGTTGGCCAAAATCATCTCCCATGGAGCCTATTTTATAATAACGTGTTGGAAATCTCAGTGAGTTCTGAAGGTCGCCCTGCAAGTGACAATCAGAATGGATGCAGGTGTATTGGTCCGTTGTTGACCCTCATGATGGTGGGGCTGCCCAGCCTTGCAAGAGAGGGTCCTACCACATATCGCCAGCCCGCGGAAAAGACCCAAATTCAAAATTCCAAGTACAGTTTCTGCTGAATGCATACCACTTTTGCAAAATCTAAGAGTCCAAAAAATCTTTAAGTCTATCCAGCATCAGCCGGGGAACGTCTTGTCTAAGCGTTCGTGCCATTCACTTGCCAATGTATTTGTCAACTTCAAAATAATTCAAGTAATTGTAAACTATCCACATTTTTTCCTCTGGCAAAGCATCCCAGGCCACTCAGCCCAGTGGTGTGGACATGCCTCTGTCAGACGACGCCGGGCACCAAGCTGAAAGTTCTTCCCAGACCCGGATAGATATGTACCCACCTCACGGTTGGAAAGGTTTACAAGGGTGCCAATTTGGAAATCCCACTGTCAATTATAAAACAGACCTCCTCCGCACTGAGAGGAGGGAAAATGCAGAGATGGATATGAAAATCCGAAGGGCTGTATGGTCTAAGAATAAAATGTTTTCTAAATCAAATTAAGCGACACAGTGGAAATTGAGGAGAAAGTCCTTAAGGTGACTTTTGAATGAAAATGAAATGTCTGTTAGTAAGTTACAGAGGTGCACTGATACCAAGTGGCAGCCTTGTATCTCATTAATTTCAAACATAGATTTTTATGTGAGGCTATTTGATTATAATTTGATTATCTGACCCTGTAATTAAAGTTTATTGCCAATTTGGAAGCTTACATGTAAAATGAACTGGTTTTCTTCAAAGCAATATACAATCCTTTGGATTCATTGACTCCTGGTTTTGCATTTAAATGGAAAAGTCAGTTATAACGTGACAAACAGGTTGGGGTTTTGATCATTAATCCTGCTAAAGC